CAAGGCTTATATTCAACAGTGAAACGAAACCCAGTTTCAGAGCATTAGTACAACAATGGGCCCTTAGTGGCTTTGGATCCATGTGAATCCCGACAAGACCCCTAATTGACTCTTTAATGATAGAGGTCAGAACTTGATTTGATTAGTTCTGAAGAAGCCTCTATCATCTAAAGAGAAAGCACTCTGTAGTGCTGATTGTCGTCATCCATTAACTCTATGGTGTCAGAACAGATTTGTCAGCAACTGTGTCACCTTTTCAAACACACACACGTCATGTTAGTGACTTAATGTAGCTAAACAGGTTCTACAGAGACAGAAATGAAATGGCTGCAAGAATACAGAGATTATCACAGTTATGAGCTGTTTGACATCTTAAAGCTACTCCGTCGTGTCAGGAATGTCATTGTTTCATCAACACACCACAGACACACAGAAACTCAGAGCAAGACCGTCAAGGGTGCTGATAAAGACTGTGTGTCTCCAGACAGTGCCATTCTGTTAATCGTGATAGAACAAAGAAGTCGGATCCCCTGATGGCAACGATAACAGCCTGACAGAATCACAACACACACACATGCACACGCTGAAGGAGAGCCCTGAACAATGACACCCCTACCCCCACCCCCCTCCAGCTGTCTAGACAGAGTGCATGGCTGCCGTTGGCTAGCTGCTGGAGATCTCAGAGGGGATTAGAGCACAGACTACACTCACCTGTTTTTAGCTGCTTGTTTCTCAATGTGTTTTTTCATGCAGCGTTGATGCAATGTGACAGGCACAGAAGGAGCTGGGTGTATCATGAGGTATGCAGACAAGCAAGACAAGCAGTACAGCTGTGGATGGCTTCTTGGTCACGTTGTAGGGGGGAAAAGGTGTTAGGGGAAGATTGTAAGTGTTAACAAGAAGTCACAAGACTTGTTTGTTTTAAAAACATGTGAACAGTCTTTCTGTTCACAAGACATGTTGAGTTACAATGGATGGAAAAATGACCAATTCACTGATGACCAAGCCACTAATGTTTGAGTCAGAAGTTAACTTTCCTAACAACACAACTCCTGAGCCAACAGAGCAATAATAAGATGTTACTAAAAGGCTGAGAATGTTGTAAAATGTAACATTTATTTTCTTGAATATCAGTCACATTTACCATTTATCATTTCTTCAATGCTCCTTTCAGCAGGTATGACCAGTATCATTAGCTACTGTTTGCTAATATAGATATTTGTATACTCGGTACCTGGACATATTTGGGTGACAAACACGAGACAGTTAATTTCTAACATTCTGCTTGTTTTCTAATTTTGGTACCATTACACTGTTTTAGCATGTAAAGGATACAGGCGGTCTTATTTTCCTTCATTATGCGCAATTAATGCAAGACTGACTGCTCAGTCAGAGATTGGGGTGTGTTATGCTAGTAGCTAATGTAGCCTGGAGCCTCTGGCCTCAGAGATGAAGAGTAGAACACAGCGGTCTGATAACTTTTCTGTTTATTACTTACTAACTCAACAGCTCAGTAATGCTTTCATTTTTAGACTTTTGGTCTTCTTACTCAAAGGACATCACTTGAGGCAGTTCATTAGAATTAGAGCAGCTCCCTCTGGAGCTCAAAGGCTTCATCCAACATTTCTTTACATGCAGTGGAAGTTTTATAGAACAGTTAACAACTTTATGCATACAACCAGTTGACATTAGTCTCCCAAGAATCTTCAGAACTTATGGCAAATTCAATGTGGCCTTTTCCTGTAATTGTCACTTTTGACCAGATTAGTCAAAGACTGGTTGAAGATTCATTAATCGACAGTGCACCGTTATCTGTCATTGTATTCTTTGTGGCACATTATGAATAGAGCTGAGTATTTCACATGCTAACGCTGATGAATGTTTGATCATAGACCTACACGTCTATGGAGGAGTTACCTGACTGACATCTGTTCACATGCTTGCAGACTGTGAGGTATCGACCGACACAGACGCAGAGCCGTGATGAAATGATGAATCAGAGCCGCAGAAATGCCGGAGGGCAGAAGCAGTAGAGCCGAGGAGAAAGCAACCGGGAGGAATAAGGAAAGTGAAGATTATCGCAGACGATAGAGGAAGTCGTTGCTAGTGCGAGCACGTAGTATAAAACTCTCAGTCACTCCTATACATATATGAATACAAACACTCCGTCAGACAAGTGTGTGTGTGTGTGTGTGTGTGTGTGTGTGTGTGTGTGTGTGTGTGTGTGTGTGTGTGTGTGTGTGTGTGTGTGTGTGTGTGTGTGTGTGTGTGTGTGTGTGTGTGTGTGTGTGTGTGTGTGCGTGCGTGCGTGTGTGTGTGTTTGTATGCACAAGATGACTCACAGATAAACTCCTGGATTAAGTCTCTTCGAGCGAAGCGGACTTTGTACTCATGTCATTTCTATCACACAGGAAGTTCCAAGATGCTCTTCTACTGCATCTGTGTTTTAGTTTTTCTGTTTATAAAGACATAGGTGCATGCAAGACAACAAGGGCTTACCCCATTTTGAACTTAATCTGGACACCAATAATCAGTTGATTTAAAGAAAACATCTTAAATGCTCTGAACAAGAATTATAGAATTATATTTTTTTACTGTTATTCTGTGGTGGTGTTAAAGGCTGAAAATAAACCTTTTGAAGTGTGAGTGAAAGTTAGTACGGCTAGATACACTTTAATTTAACCCTTTAGAAGGGTTAATGTTGGACAGCGCTGAAAAGAAGTTAAAGATGAAGCATGGAGTTTCAATTGACACAGAATTGCAGTGAATACATTAATCCTGCAGTTGACTTCATTGGGGGCGATTTATCAATTATAGATAGAATATCAATTATAGTCGAACGTTGTTATCCTGAGCCAAGTATTGTTTATCGTATCACAAGTCACGCTGCCATTCCCACCCCTACTTTATGGTGGGAATAATCAAGATCATTTTAGTTTTGCTATACTGCCTAGGTACTTAGTTTGGTGTAGCTCCGTAAGATGTTTTAAGTGTAATCTGCTTGGTCAAATTAGTGGGGTGCAACAGATTAACCATAATTAGTTTGACGGGCAGTCGAGAAGAATACAGCCGTCTTTAAAAAATAATATATCTGGGTAGTAATATATCAAAGGAAGACTTAAGGATGTCAAATCATCAAAGCCCTCCCCCCGTCAACTTTGCTTCTGTCAGTGTGTTCTCGTGTGGGCAAGTGCATGAATAAGTGTTGTATGAGGGACACGTAAGAACAAAGGCGAGCTAAGCCCTTCACACAGGAAACTTTAGACGTGAGCTGTGCTTCTGCAGTCAGTATGAGCTTGACCTTTCACACCAGGGACTCGTGACATGGTTTATCCAGGTGGCTGTTAGGTGGGTGGGGGGAAGGGAACCTGAAGGTCAACAGAGGATAAAACCAATGCTGGACAATTCTTAGGTTTCTTCCACTGATGAATGATTGCTGGGCCTATAAAGCCTTTTGTTATACTATTACAGCTTTTTAAGTTGTATTTTTTGCATTTTCTTTTCTTGTGCACATTGGCATGTATTCTGTTGTGGGCTGGGCTGCAAACAGGGGGAGGAATATGCCGTGTTTACATTTGAAATAACTTCCTATGTGTTGCTCATGGTCTGGCTGTCAGCAAGTGGTTTAGCCACCTTTCTCGTGACTCCTTCAGGCAGAGTGGCTTTGTGCTGCTGTACATGCCTGTAGGCACAGAGAGACTGTGGGTGTCCTTAGTGATGATGGGAGATTCAGCTACATGTAGCCACCGGGTTTCAGTCTGTGAGAGATGCAGCACAGGAGAGTCAGAAAGATGTCAAATTCAGTAGAAACTTTCCTTTGATGTAACCAATATTTGTATCTCTTCCATCCTTTTCATTTTATCTAGCTATTCGTTGATCTATCAGTTGCATGTAGACGGCATTAAGGTGATGATGAGTGATCATAATTGCACCCCGAGGATCATAATGTCCTCTTTATCTGTAGTATCACTGCTGTAGTGCACATTACAGTAAGTGCTTCTTTCCACCACTGCTGCAGCGTGCATCCATTGAGAAAAGCAGCATGTTAAATTTTTAAAACGAGTAACCCAAAGCCTTTATGTAGTGAAAGAAATACGCCACACGATCGCTTTGAGGCAACAACTGTCTCCTCGACGACTGAGTGACCCCCCCCCTCCCCCTTCTGTCTTGTCAATGTGGGCGACCAGGGCAGATGTTGGGGGGGTGTATCCCCCTATGACGGCATGAGGTCATCAAATAGAAAAGATGAGTGTGAATGAGAGAGACAAGGAGATTATACACACCGCAAAAGTCTGAAAGTTTGACAAATCAGTAAATGAGAGAGTATCAAAAAGAGAATAATGCATTCAGTTTGGTCAGACGTTTATTTTGTTACATACAAATTAACCAGCCCACAAGGATAACACAATAAAGATAATGACGATTCAACTACTAACACGCAGATCACGGTCTAATCCGTAATAGTGGACATTTTACTGAAACACAAATAAAAGCTTGTTTTCAAGCTCATGAAATCACATGATATACAATGTCTTTCTTTTCAGGAACACAATTAAACCTGTTTATATACCACATTTTTAAATGCCTGAACATCAAACATGGTTTCTTCACATAATGCCCTGGCACAGTTTGTTATAGGTAATAAGGGGTTATTAGCGAAAACAGTCTGTCCTCATAAATGAGGAACAATCTGTGCTAAGCTTCGTGAGTATTATACTCTATGTTAAAAGAAGGAATTGATACCAGATAAAGAGATGATAACTTCCCTTAAAACACATCTTTAAATTTAGTTGCTATGGAGTTTCCAGCCTATGCCTAGAATAGAGTGAGGCGGAAATCTGTTTTAAATCAGTTTTTTTTTTTTTTCTATGCAAATTAAATTAATTTTTACCAGTAATGTGCTCGAATTTCCTTCTCTTGAAGCCAAACCATGAACTTCTTCCTCATTCTGTCTGTATTCTGCTGACTGTTGTGTTTTTGTTTGTCTGTCTGTTTTTCAGAGAGGAATGCCCCAGACTGTGTGCTCAGGCACCATGTTCACCACTCCCAGTAGCTTCAGCCCGCATCTGGCCTGTGCTGAGCCTGGAGAGGAGGAGGAGGGGGCCCCACAGGAGGGCCAAGAACCAGGGGCCTGCCTGGCCGATGGGCCCCCGATCACCTCCGCCTCCCTGGACACCCTGATCCAGAACTTGGTCCCCACTGCCGATTACTACCCCGAGGTAAATGAAAATACAAAAAAAAAAAATCTCAATTAGTGAGTTAATTTAAGTTAAGTGTCTGTTTAACTTACATGTGTCTGTTTAAAGTGGTGCTCTGCATCCTTTAATCACAGAAAGCCTCAGTATTTGTTATTGATGTAACGTCAGTGTCTTAGTGAATGTCTCACTCTGTCCTTTGACAGAAAGCCTATGTGTTTACGTTCCTGCTGAGCGCACGTCTATTCATCCCGCCTCCTGAGCTGCTGGCCAGGGTGTGTGAGCTGTGCATCAAACAGCAGCAGCTGGATCAGAGCCCACTGGATACGGTGAGCACTGCGCCTCATATAAACAACACGACTCATGTATGAAAATGCACAAGCTAATGTATTCACACAGGCACAAAAAAAGTATTAGACACACTTGTAGTCTGCATATAAGCAACTGCTAAGTTTTTGACGGATTAGCAATTTTTAGTGATCATTGTCTTTTGCTGAGGTATCCATGAATGTGAACCGTACTGTACTAAACTCGTCTCTTTGACAACAGGCAAAGGTGCGCAAGTTTGGTCCCAAGATCCTGCAGTTGCTGACAGAGTGGACAGAAACGTTCCCGTCCGACTTCAGGGATGAGAAGATGGTCGGACACCTTAAAGACTTCATCCACAGGATAGCTCCATGTGATGAGGTACATTGAAGACAGCCATGTGATGGCAGTTAAGTTCTTTACCGAAGACAGGAATTAGTTTGCACTTATGTATGACATGCTGGATCTTCATTTAAAAAGGATGAAAATCATACATTTCCACTGGATGAGAATTTGTGATGACCTGTAAGAGCAGTTTGATCAGTACTTTACCATCGTGGCTGTTTATAATCTGCCTGACTAGCAGTGTATCTGCAGTGAGAAATGCTCTGATGGGGAAAAGAAATTCAATTATCATCACTAGCAGTGAGCGGGGTGATGGAAGGAGTCAGAGTGTCAGTGCTGGGTGAGTAACCACAGCTCTGTGTTACACAATCTTGCATTACTGGAGAAGAGAGGAAGCAAGGATGTTTGAGGAGTGGCTCTATCTGCAGCCTCGGGGGGGGGAAACAGAGGAGGGGAGATGGATGGAGAAAACAGGAGGGGGGATGGGATGCAGGGGCAGAGAGAGCAGAGAGAGCAGAGGAGGAGAGGCGGAGAGGAGGGTGATGGAATCGAGGAAGAGGAGGTGAAAAGAGGACAAAAAGAGGGGATGGTGGCAGGCAGTGATGAATGTGCTGCTATTTACAGATTGCTGTCTACAGGATAGGGTGTGTGTGCGCGTGTGTTTGTGCATACATGTGTGAGCTGTAGCTCCAGGTCATTTGTGAGACAGTGACCCAACGGCCTCGGTGACCAGTCATCTGCAGGGAAACACACACATTCCTGAACACAACACACATCACATCGCTGCTGCTGTCCCTCGAAAAACACATTTTTATCTCAACTGAAATTGCGATCTTTATTTTCGGGCTCATTAAATTGCTTCAAACATCATAAATTAATGTCAGAATCGATTACTGCTGTGCAAAAATGAAATGTTTTTTTTTTTTTTAAGACTAAAGTTAAATGACGCATTAGCCAGCCACACAGTGAAACAAGTAATATGAAGTATCAAGAATCGTACTTAACGAGGAAGGTAGGCTTTGACTGCAGGTCAGATTATTACTCATTGCATGTGCAGGAGTGAAATGAAATAAAAAGCGTAATTAAAAGCTGAAATAAATGTACTGTATGGAATATATACAATCTGGTTGGACTTGCCTGTGACCTTTCAAGGATGTTATATAGCTAATGCACAATTACATTGTAATTTGAATCATGTTTACATAAAGTATGATGGTGTAGTATTGCAGCCCAGGCAGCCAAGAAGTTCTTTTCATTCATGCGTATTAATGATCTGAGACGCATAAATAAATAATTCATACAAGACATTATTGACAGCTCTCCTCTCCTCTCCTCTCCTCTCCTCTCCTCTCCTCTCCTCTCCTCTCCTCTCCTCAGGCATATTGGAAAACCCTGAACCAGGTGCTGCAGAAGCTCAGCCAGCGGCTGGCCCTGATAAGCCAGGGAGAAGAGAGCATCGTCAAGGTCTCCCTCAACGCCTCCTCCATCTCTGACAAGCTGGTGGCCTTCAAAACCAAGCCTCCGCCGATCCAGAAGGACATGCTCTCCATCTGCAATGACCCGTACACACTGGCACAGCAGCTCACCCACGTGGAGCTGGTGAGGAGAAGGGGGGAGGGAGAGGAAGGGAAGGGAAGTGGGGGTTAGACAGAGTTCAGGGTAAGACTAGATAACAAGGATGGACAAGAGTAGCTGAAAGAATGGATGGTTTGGACAAGAAGGCGGAGCAAAGGAGTTTGAAAAATGGGTGGAGAGATAGTCTAAGCCAGGGACATAACAATGGATTATAAGACATTAAACAAAGAGATGAAGATGGGAGTCAATGTTTTGATGTTGTACTATTGTGAAGCTCGCCGTAGTATAACCTTGTTCCTTACTTGTCAGCGATAACAGTGATAAGTGGCCTTCACAGAGTGTAATATGAAGAGAATAATGCACTGACACATACATGAACAAAGGGTCTCTGCAGCATCCCTCACATTGCATGCATGAAGTCTTCAGTCTTTTCATGTGTGTCTTGATGCGAGCACGTGTATCTGGGGGGGGGGTGTGTGTGTGTGTGTGTGTGTGTGTGTGTGTGTGTGTGTGTGTGTGTGTGTGTGTGTGTGTGTGTGTGTGTGTGTGTGTGTGTGTGTGTGTGTGTGTGTGTGTGTGTGTGTGTGTGTGTGTGTGTGTGTGTGTGTGTGTGTGTGTCTGAATAAGCTTGTACCCTTGTCTAAGCTGTGACATCACCCCCAGAAGTCAGAGATGTGCCTGAGGCTTCAAACAAAGGGGATAAAAACCACTGTGGATATATGTGACCTGACAGCTTCACACTCTGGAACACACACCCACGCACTAGAGAGAGAGAGAGAGAGAGAGGGAGAGAGGGAGAGAGAGAGACGAAGACAGACATTTACAGTGCTTACAGACAAAACTTGTTCCTTTTTAGGTTAAGCAACATTCTTGTTCTCATTAGAAGAATAGATGCTTTTTTTGCTTTTTGTCACTTTGCCCAGTTTGTGTGTCTCTGTATGTATGTGTGTGTGTGTGTGTGTGTGTGTGTGTGTGTGTGCGCAACACTGTTCTTTGTGTGTAACAGGGCTTTAAATGTCTCTACTGAGTCATTTTGATTTGCACATGCACATGATAGCACAGTCGTCTTTTAATAGAATTGAAATTCATCTCAAGTGTCACTGTGAGGAAATATGACTCCAATGACTCCAATGAGTCACGTCAATGAGTCATTACTTCCCCTTATCGATTGCCTTCCATTACTGAAATGAAAGAATTATTAATGGCACTATCCCCATCGATGTTTGCGTGTGATGGTTTGTATTGGTGTTTTTGTTTTCCAGGAACATTTGAGACATATTGGACCTGAGGAGTTTGTCCAAGCCTTTGTTCAGAAAGACCCGCTAGATGGAACCCAGGTACACTTTTATAATTCAGTATGTGACTTTGCAGAAAAACATCAAGATGTGTAATCTACACAACTTGTCAAGTTTAATGTTTTCAGTTAAAATCCATGGGGTGTCTTCGAAATCCCACCTTTTTTTTTGCTTTGTTGATTTGACTTTTGCTTCACAAGTGGCCATCAAAAGGTCACGTTTTGAAAAGCTTCATCTGCTGTCTCTGTGTAACTGCTTTCATACTCTCTTCTCATTTTATTTTTTTTATTTTTTCTGCCCTTTTGACTCATTTCCTCTCCGCCCCCCTCTGGTTTTTCCTCCTGCTCTCCATTGATTGTGTTATTTCTGCTTCCAGCTCACTATCTTTGTCTTTCGCACTCACACAGGGGGTCAGCCTGTAGATAGGAAGCTAATTACGATCAGAGGAATTCCCTATAGTGGCACTTCCTGTACTGACTTGTGTGTATGTGCATGTGTTCATGTTTGTGTGTCATTAGCAGCCGTGCTTCAGCGACCAGAAGAAGAAAACCACCAACCTGGAGGCATATGTCAGGTGGTTCAACAGACTGTGTTACCTGGTAGCTACTGAGATCTGCATGGTGAGTGGCAAATGTCGGTACACCAGGTGCTCATTTATTCTAACTTTAGACTTTAATAGTAAACAAAAAACAAACCTACTGTGCCAATAATGAAGCATATAAAAGGTCTCCAATTTAAGAAATGCTTATCCTGTTCACAAAATAGGACAGACACTGTTAAGAAGCATGTCATAAACATGGAAATGAATCACAGCGAGACTTTCCCTATTTTAATACATAACTGAAATGTTTTTTGGAATATGAATTCATATGAATTTAACCCTAAGCCTTCATTGGTCATTTATTTCTACGTTTTAGATGATAATCTGGGCACTGAAACAGTTGGCACTGTAGTGGTATTCCTTTTGTAAACAAGTAGAGGTGCGCGCACAAAGCCGATTTGTTTGGTACAGAGTGTCGCTGCCCCCTGGTGGTTACTTTTTGTAACTTTTATAACTACTTGCCAACTTTCATGACTAGTTTTAGTATTTGAGCCTAAATATCTGTGAAAAGGATAAATGATATTGTTAAAACCGAGCTTATATAAAATGAAAAATCTTGTTTGCAGCCTGCAAAGAAGAAGCAAAGGGCTACAGTGATAGAGTTCTTCATTGATGTTGCCAGGGAGTGTTTCAACATTGGAAACTTCAATTCCCTCATGGCAATCATCTGTGAGTCTAATTTTGCAATTTCCTGATAGTATTATAAGAGAGAATTCTGACGAATGCTGCTATTTATAGTTGAATTTGTGTCCTCCTGCAGCCGGAATGAACATGAGCCCTGTGTCACGGCTGAAGAAGACTTGGGGCAAAGCCAAAACTGCAAAGTTCTTCATACTTGAGGTAAACACAATCCAAAGTTTCATCGAACGAGAAGTACCAGACAGGTAGGGACTTGATGTTGACTGAGTTTTTTTTGCTTTGACAGCATCAGATGGATCCTACTGGGAACTTTTATAACTACAGGACAGCCCTAAGGGGGGCCGCCCATCGCTCGCGAACTGCCAACAGCAACAGAGAAAGGGTTAGGCGCTGCTATTGTTTTTTGTTTTTTAAAGCAAGATGACATCAATTCAATCCATTTTTAATCTGACATCAAACTTTCTATTTTCCTGCCCGTTGTGTGTCTTCAGATCGTGATTCCCTTCTTTAGTCTGCTGATTAAAGACATTTACTTCCTGAATGAAGGATGTGCAAATCGGCTGCCTAACGGCCACGTCAACTTTGAGGTGAGCCTATTCCTGGTCTCCTCTTTGTGTCATTTCTTCAGAAAAAAACATCACCAAGGGGTTATTTTTTTTTTGCTTTTGTTAGAAATTTGTGGAGTTGGCGCGGCAGGTTGGGGAGTTCATGACATGGAAACAGGTGGAGTGTCCATTTGAGGAGGATCGGGCCATCCTGCACTACCTCCACACTGCTCCCATCTTCAGCGAGGACGGTGAGAACCTGTGTTTTTTTTAAATACTAGTCTATACAGGTATTTATGATCATTTGCTCATTCCAACCAATCCTCCTTCTTCCTCAGGACTCTACCTTGCATCCTATGAGAGCGAGAGTCCAGAGAACCAGGTAGAGAAGGACAGGTGGAAAGCACTCAGGTAAGAATGATAACACATTATAATAATAAAAGTGCAAATCAACACAACATCCTTCATCGACGTCTCATATCTTTCCTCCATCAGGTCAAATGTTCTGGCAAAGACATGAGGCCCTGATGGCAGCTAACCCTGCAACCAGCGAGGGAGCTCGTGTTCTCGTTGCACTAAATTGAACTGTGAAGGAACCTAGCTGGTACTTAGGTGTTTTTTTTAATGAAGAAGGGAGGAAAAAAAGGAACAAGATGAACAGGATTCATCAAGAGTGTTTAAAAAAAAAAAAAGAACACATCTTTTAAAAGGGAATTAAAAAAGTGAAGCGATGGAAACTGGATCAAAATGCCTTTGCAGCATATGAACTGTTTAGGTAGAGTATGTTGGAGAGGGGTCCAGCCTCCTCTGTAACCCCTCCCATATTGTGTGTTTACTCTGTGAAGATATGTTTACTACTATAGCGAGTACAGTTACAGGGAAAACCACTTTCTAAAATGAAATTCATACAGATGCTATTGTTTTTTTTGTATTTGCTCCTCTTCTCTCTCTTTCTCTTTCCCTTTTTATTCTTAAGGTATTTATTTGAACTTGATTTCCTATATGTGTAATGTACTGTAAGGAAACTAACCATGATGTGAAGGGCGCTGGCTAGCCCATTATTAACTTTTATAGGTCTACTGAAGGATTCTGGGAAGATAGAAGAGAACATGCCTTGAGCATTTTACCAGTTCATCTCATGTGTACTTATATGTGTTTGTGATCCAGATGTTCATGCATTCAATGTCTGTTCAGATTGTCATTGTCTTGTTTTGCATGAGAATGACTGGAAAAGACTGCTCATGGGTCAGGGTTTTTTTTTATTATTATTATTATTTATTGTATTTTTTGAAGTGTTTACTCATTTCTAAAGTTATTGTGCCATCAATGCAAAACAACTACAGTATAGCTTCAGTCACAGGGCCAGGTGTAGATTGTGTACAGGTGACATTTACCCCTCATCTTTCTGCTCTTCAGGAAGTTTTCTCCGACTGACGTTCAGTTGTCTGATATATTTATGGAGATTTCTGTGCTGACAGATGTATAGTTTTTATTGTTACTTTCCTCTACTGAATATGAAGTCCAATGGCATGCAACGATAGGTGATGTTACAGGTGCATAAAGAGTATCCACCTTGTGAGGAAAACTGCTGCAACAGGAAGTTTGCAGTGCAGATGAAAGACAACGGTGATTTGGATTTTGTCTTAATCTTAATTAGAGAGAAACTTGTGCCATATGAATCATGATAATTCAGGTTCCTCTGACTTGAAATGTGTTGTTTGTCGTTTCGTGGGATCGTCAACTTGCGACTCTGTTTTTGGCAGTTTTGTTGTGATTCGGGGCGGGGGCGGGGGAGGGGTCGTGTAAGGAGGAGCGGTGCACTGGGGATGGGAACTATGTAATTATAAGCTTTTTGAAAACAGTCTTATTGAGTTTGCTATGATTGATTGATGTCAGTGTTTTCTCTTAAGAAGCACCTTTCCATCCCAATAACAGACTGACTTTAACTCGCCCTCCTCATTTGCCATCAGTAAACTTGCTTTTCCTGTAACACATTCCCCCTGATAAGTTAAGTATAGAGTCAGACATCCATCCAAGCTAAAGACATGTTTTAATAAAACATTGCCTGTGTTAAACGTGTGTTTTCAATGACAATCTACTTTACATCACTTCTGCTCTTCTGAATGGTGCCATTGCCATTTTCCAACCTTTGATTAAACACATTCATTGCTGTGTGCATTGGAAGGAGTGGAGTGTTTTTCATGGTTAAAGAGGCCAAGCAGAAACAAGTTTTGTCTTTAACATCACTGCTACATTTATGACTGGTTCTTAAAAAGCCTTTAATAAAAGTTGACCATGCGAAACTGATTGTATGATTTCCTTTTTGTCTTGATTCGTGCATAACAGGATTCACAAAGAAACGGGGCGAGATCATTATTAGTGATTCCTGACCATTAATCCCCTTTAATTGTTTGCATGTGTGAAATTTGTTTCATTATAGCCACAAGAAAACACCTAAATGGATAAGCTTAGTACAAGATTTCCTCTGCCGTCCAGACATTGTCTCAAGATGAGTAATCACAGATCAATTCAAAAATAAGTCAGAAATTAAAACCCCCCACGTTAAACACTTTTTGACAAGACTGAAACGATTTTTCAAAATGTTGCCTTAACTGATCAATTAATTTGTCACACAATAGAAGAAACTGCCCATCAGTTTTGTCCAACAGCGCAATTCGTAAGATGTTGATGTTTAATTGCGGTTTAAAAAAATAATAAGAAATAGCCGTGAAAACCGCCGTGAGACTTGTAGCACAGGACATTAAGATGGGAAGGAAGTACTTCACCCACACCTCACAGACTAAATGGACAGCTGACCACCTCACAGTGCAATACAAGTGTGCAATATTAACCTTAAAAACAAAAAACAGTGCAAAAAAATGTGTGCAATAAGAAAACATGTTTATATTTTCATTTCATTGTAGTGTTACCCTTGTTATTTTTATTTTTTTTGTATTATATCTTTGCTTTAATACAGGGTATAACTTCAATACAGTTTATTTTAATTTGCTTAGCTGTTAATTCTTAATTAATTTTACTCTCTTTTTTTCTTACAATGCTAGTCTATTCTATATATATTTTAACTTTTTTTTGTAGAAGCTGACTCAGGGAGAAACGCACAAGAATTCCAATGTACCTGTACTGCCCTGTACCTGTGCAAATGGCAATAAACATCTAAACTAAACTAATCTAAACAAACCGAGGATAGAAAATATTTGGCACGCTAAATAAAAACATGATTTTACAGTAAGCCTAAAAGATTATCAAACGTGTTAAGTAGATTTGCATTGATTGTTTCAATCACAAAGACAAAACGACAACATGTTCTGAAAAATAAGCAGACTTCACTTCATTTATTGGGGACATCTCTGCTGTATTCCACATTTTATATAGAATTTGAGATATAAGCCTATAAGTTTCCCATCGGAAACATTTCAGTCCTTGAGTTCCTCTCGACCTGAGTCAAATGTTATCTTGGCCAGTGTGGTGTAAGATTCAAAGTTCCTGGAGCTCAGGTAGGTCCCGAATAACGCCTGGAGCACCAGAACTGCCCTCATCTTCCTCAAGATCGGCCTGGAGAGCTCCACGTAGTACCGGAGCACATTGCCCTTCTCTGGCAGCGGAGCGGTGTTGTACCTGGATGCGATGGCGATATTGACAGGTAAGGCCAGCAGGATGGGGTACAACCCGGCGCCCACCACACCAACAAGAGCACCTCGTATCAGGGCACAGGAGGGACAGTTGAGGTCACCGTTCAGGAGGGGATTGGTCACGACAGCGTTGTAGAGCGCGTATGTTGTCAGGAAAGGCATCACGGCCATCGGCACGGACGAGGTGACGCCTGCCTGTTTGATATTCAGAGCTCTGCGGTACAAGCTGTTCGATACCAGTCCTGCAAGGCCACCGTTCCCCGCCAGATACGCAGGTCCATAGAGAAAGAGTTTCTGATCAATGTCAGGCAGTTTCTCGAAATTGTTCATCAGCATTTGGGCAATCGTCACTCGTGTGAGCGCTCTTCCGGGTCGCTCTTCCATCTTCAGATTGAATGTTTTAAATCCAAAGCGAGAGTGTCCACTGTTTTGTAGCCGGAGTTCCTGGTTAAAACTGTGATAAATCGATTGTCACGTTAAAGTAAGGTGGTTGTGGGGATGAGAGAAGGGCGCAGCCATGTTGTACCCATAATTCATAGCTTGCTGTTTTGTGATTGGGATTTGAGCCCTGGGCGCGGCTTCTCAGGCAGAGCAACGCTGCTGTTTGTTTGCAACAAGTCTTAAAATTACAGAAAAAAGTTTAAAGGAATCATGCGTTAAAAAAAAAAAGTTCTTCCTATGAAAAAATGGCCGCTTATCCTTATCATGACCAATGGCCTTACTCATTGTGAGATGTTTAATTGTTGGAGGAATTGTAGAATTGTAAGCATCCTGTGCAGAGAGGCCTTGAGCTGACTTCTCAAAACGTTCAGGTATTATTTTGGTTGACTTATTAAAAATATTTAAGAATGCCACACTGCTGCAAAATCCATGGCCTTTAGCAGATAATTTAGGTCAAAAGTCTATTCAAGTTTTAAACTTTTTTTTTTTGCATCAAAATATATTTAGGCTCATTTACAAACACGTTTACAAGTGTTCTACAAGAGTGCATAGGCCTAGTAACACAATACAAATATCTGATACTTAAAATGTCTTTTACATTTAAAAAAACACTTTATTTTAAATTTAAAAAAAGTAAACATTTTTAATTTTTTCAGCCACCCATGCATAAACTGATCAATAAACTGATAAAATGTAACCTGTAGAAAAAAAAGAAAAAGTAGATCTTTAAAAAAAAAAAATCAACTATGCTAGAAAATATAATCAAAACGCCCTTAGAATGATGTTTAGAAAACCATGAATATGATGTTTAGAAAACCATGAATATGATGTTTAGAAAATCATGAATATGATGTTTAGAAAACCATGAATATGATGTTTAACAATTTCCATTTCCACAGACTGGATTCGTCTGAAATTTCGGATTATTCAGTACCACAAATATTTCAGAAATAAATATCGATTTTAAATTATACTGGTAGCTTCAAACTAAATTATTGCAACATTTTTAAACGTGTTTATTTTACTGTTAGTGATACTTGGGGTTACAGTTCACGTGTCGCCTGATTTCACCTGAAAGAATGAACTCAGGGTGACAGAACCCTTATCACGTGAGTGGGCGTGGTTATTGTGTGTTACGTCATAACATTTGTGTAAGAACGTTGTTCCATCGGATTCCAGGGAAGCTCGCCATCTTTGAAGACGAACAGGCTGACGACCTTTCTTTGTTTTCACATCTGACCTAAACGTTAAACCTACATTATCAACCGTAATACTATTAAATGAAGGTAAGCAGATAAAGTGGACAGAAATCCAACCACACAGAAACCGTGTTTTACAGCTCGGCTTTAATTGAAAGGTTGGCTAATGTTAGCTAGTTAGCTTTGAGACACTCGACGTTTCGCCATCATGACACGACACCTGTTTAGCATTTAGTAGTGTTAGTCGGTATATAACTATTTATTTTATATTATTATTATTATCACCCTAATAAAAGCTTGTTAGTTAGGCTTCGTTGCGTAAAGTTGTTATTATTATTGGATGGGGGTTTAAAGCTAACGTAGAAACTGCTAACGTGGTCGATGCTAAAAGACCGAGCTGACGTAATTATTGTCTTTATATTATTATCTTCATCCACTTGACGATGAATACACACATGCTATGTTCGAAGCTGCATTATATATACTGCTGTTGAACGCAGTATTTACCTTCAGCAGTGGACTATAGGACTATAGTTGTGCAGTATTTCTTGCAGCATGTCAGGCCCGACTAAACTCACTTCCGGTCCTGAAGTGAGACGTAAACAACTCTCACGTTACAGTAAAACATCCAATTACGGTCTGAAAAAACAAAGAGATTTTATTTATTTAGATGTTTCATGATTTGAGACAATGTGCTTCGTGTGGGTTGGTCTGATTGTGATTATTCCCTCTGATATCCGTCATTATGTTTCAAAAGCTTTGTGGGGATCTGGAGGTCTACCGACTGAAATACCCCAAATAGTACGACATCCGGGTACTTTGACTTACCGCGAGTTGTCTGTATACTGCATTTTGTCTGAGTCAATACAACAGGTGTAGTAGTTTAGTGAAAAAAAAAAACAGTTTTCAGGTCATCGATGCCGCAAACTCGTCGACTTTGTAACTAACGTGTTAAAGTTTTGACCCACCATCATGCAACTTGCAGCCAAGTTGCACTGAATGGTAGATATCTTTTTGTCTTTGTTTAAAAGCTTCATTTAAAGTTCATTTTCAAAATCTATGAGCTTATCATTCCAGACAATAGTTTGTTCCACAGATATTAGTCATAGTGTAAGACACCAAAAAGGAACACTTTGCTTTGTTTATACTACCAACTTTACAATTTCCTAAGCAACTTTATTTACAGTTACAAATTCTTTATAAAAATATTGACACAGGTACATATTGAGTTAATATGAACTAAATGAAAACGTATTCATGATAAATTAATATACTGACTTTTGTTTTGGGGGAGGAATATCCCCAGAAACTGTACTGCTGATAATGAAGCACACGGTTGAAGGGTTTGTCAGGATTCTATGTAATTTTGACCTGTATTTCTGTATCTTTTTAGATGCGCCATTCAAAGCGAATGCGCTCCCCAGGCGTTTGGCTTGATGAGTACAGCTGGGAGGAGAGAATGGAGTGTCGTAAACGAAGAAAACGGGACTCTCATAGTAGTGAGAGAGAAAATCAGTCCCGGAGAAGTCATCGTTACCACAAGATGTTTGAGGGGTAACTATTATAATCTGTTGTATATGTACCTGCTTAGTTCATTTTCACCTTTTGTTGGTCTTGCATATGAAATATTCCAACTAGCTGTGTTTTATCAAACGGCACTGTGTGACCCCTTTTTTCTCAAGCTGTTCATACACATACCATCAAGCTATGCATTTGTGAGAGTAATATTAAAGTGAAACCTTTGATAGGCTGACATCAGTGACATTGATATGAAACTGTTTTTGCTTTCTTGGTAGGAATGCAGATTTATATTTATTAATTGATACATTTGTTAAAGTTTTTTTCAGTTGACAGTTTCAGTGTAATTTATTTAACTTATGTGCAATATTAATGTGTGTTGCAATTCTATCTCTTTGTGTCCATGCATGATAGCCCATGTGGTCACATGAGGTGTTTCCAGATCTGCTCTAATTTTAATTCTGTAGACAGGCAGACTTCTTCCCAGATGACAACTGACACCACCAGAGTGCTAGGGCCCTAATGGTTTCCTGGTCTTTTTTTTTTTTTTTTAGATACTTAGGTGCTAACATGGTATGCTGGGTGGATGGTTGGGATGTTTAAAAGCCAGGTGTATATATATGAACTGTAGGATGGTTTTGGTACAATTGCCTAGAGAATAAAAAAAATGTGTTCATATTTCTTCACTCTGTATTATTATTGGCAGAAATGGCCTCACATTTGGTTTTCAGTACTGGTGTACAAAGTTCTGCATGTGTTGAATCACAGATTGTATTACGCACCATCAGGTTGTGCTAAAAACTTTCCACAACTTTTAATGCTTCACACTTAATCTCTGCCAATGTGGCTCTCTGTCAAGGTTTATTCGTTTAAAGGAAGGCATGATTCTGGTTGCCAATAGACGGCTGTTTAAAGGTTAAAATTTCCCAAATGTGTTCATTACAAATTGTTTTTTCATACTCCTAAAAGTATTATTTGTATGCCGATATCCGCTTAATAAACTGTAGCCTCTTATTAAACAGGTAGCTTGGTGTGAGGTGGGTGTAAAGTATGTTGCTAATTACAAATGTTACGTAAAAGGCCCATGGGATAGGGTGTCAGGCCATAGACGGACCATTAGCACATTCGTACACAGTCTTCATTTTAGAGTGTGATCACAGACAAGGAACTTGACCGTTCCTGACTAGAAACTTTGCTTTCGTATCCTTGTTTTTAAACTCTTTGTCCTTTTCTTTATAACTTGCAGACAGTACCTGGAGACCCGCAGTTTGAACCATAGACTGGACTCACGGGAAGGACGCACGAGGGACCGCAGTTTGAACATGGCCTGTGAAGACAACAGTCGGGATGGCACCTGCAGAGACCAAGAAGTAGACTGGCACCACTATAGCAAGTCCTCCGGACGTAGTGGTCGCAGCAGGCGAAGCAGCCGCAGGCATAGAGACAGAAGACGCAGACGTAGCCACTCTCGTCCCAGGTCCTCCACGGTATGAGAACCCCCTCCCCTCTCCCCTTCTCTCCGTTCTTTACCACCAAATCGAATGGGTCATATCTCTTTGTCTCTGTATCTGTTTGTGTGTCCTACTCTTCACTATTAAGTATGATTTCCATTAATGACAAGTAGGGGACTGGGGAGTCAGGAAGTAAGGGATTGCAAGTGTTTGTTGATCTAAAAGAAAAGTGGACCTAGAATTTGTGCTGAGATCTTAGTGGGCAGTTATGGGAGGTTAGAATAATAAGTGAAGCTGTACCTGTCGGCAGAGCTACAAAGAACTACATGTAGAAAGACTGTAATCAATCAAGTTAAGTTTTTTTTCTGTACTACTTTGAGAAAGTCTCTCATCTGAAAATCTTGTTGCCATGTTTTTCTTCTGTAACACACACTATGTGGTGGCTGGCGCCCAATTTCTGACGGGGCTGAATTTGAATTTGCTGCTCCGTCCATTCGCCTGGCGATGTTACTGAACGGGCCGAATCTATCCACCCCTTCACCTCCCCCCCTTGGTCCGGTTGAATGAATGACGGTGTCGCATTGTGGTGGCCTGGTGCTGGCTGACTGATGGGTTATTGATGTGATGGCGGATTGCGGCGGTTCCGGTGCAGAGGAGGAGCCATCACCGCAGGAGCAGGAAAAGATCCAGGAGTGTTGTGGATGATGACGAGGGTCACCTCATCTATCACAGTGGAGACATGCTGAGAGCGAGATGTATAGAATATATACCTTTTTTTTCTATTGTTCACACTTTGTCTCTCTCACTCTCTTGTTGTCTGGTCTACCTCCAAAGATTAATGTAGAGGCTGAACTATTTGGGCCAATAGACTTAATATTGTTTTGGTTACATATTGCCTGTTTGTGTAACATACTTAGCTCTGAGTTGTATTTCAGTGTTCAGAAGCCTGTAATTGTAGTGTTGCTAAACAGAGCAATATAACATCAGGCAGTGAATCAGCCAAAGGGCACTGTTAAACTATCATCTCTGTGTCACTAACTTCACCTCTTTATTTTCTGTAGATGAGATTGTGTGTACTCTAGGAGAGGGTGCCTTTGGGAAGGTCGTCGAATGCATTGATCACTCTAAGTAAGTAGACATCAGAAAGTACTCGTATCTCCTTTTTTATCTTAAACCATTCATGTGATACTAACATGCTGTGTGATTTATGTTTCCAGTATTGGAGCTAGAGTGGCTCTGAAGATCATTAAAAACATAGATCGCTACCGAGAGGCAGCGATGTCTGAGGTAGAGGTGCTTAAACAGTTAAAGTCCCTCGATTTGGAAAAGAGATAGTAAGTCATCTGTCAGAATGTTGTACCACAAGTCCTATTACTTTGCAGTTAACACAGTTTAAGTAATATTTAAAACTTTCCAAGCAAGAAACTTACTGGCAACCTGTCCTCTTCTTCAGTGCCTGTGTACACATGCTGGACTCTTTTGACTACCACGGCCACGTTTGTATTGCCTTTGAGCTGCTTGGCCTCAGCACCTATGATTTCCTAAAGGAGAACAACTTCCAACCTTTCCCTGTAGATCACATCAGGCACATGGCGTACCAGATCATCCGGGCAGTGAAATGTGAGTATAAGACATATAGACAGCACTAGATTTACAGCCGGCGTAAAAACAAGTCTTTTTTAAAACTACATGGTCTTGTCTTTCAGTTCTGCATAAGAACAAGCTGACTCACACAGATCTGAAACCTGAAAATATTCTCTTTGTCGACTCACGATATGATATGGAGTACAACCCCGACATGGTGAGCTACCTGAATATCACTCAGATAAACCACAGCGGCTGTAGTTTATCCAAAAGTGCATAACTTGTTTGTGCCAGCAATTGTGTGAATAGAACGTTGTTTTTTTTTTATGGTCAGAAACGGGATGAACGAACATTGAAGAACCCAGATGTGAAATTAGTGGATTTTGGTAATGCCACATATGAACACGAACACCACACATCTGTGGTGTCCACGCGTCACTATCGCGCTCCTGAAGTCATTTTAGGTAAGTGCTGTTTTTTTTAAGACACATCTGTGAGGCTTTTGGATGATCCTTCGTTGGTTACTTAGTTGACTTTGTTTCTTCCAGATCTGGGCTGGGATCATTCCTGTGATGTCTGGAGCATAGGCTGTATACTCATTGAATACTACCTTGGATCTACTCTCTTCCAGGTGGGTGGCAGTAGATAGCACAAGTTATTATTTATACTGTGACTGTCAGCATGGTGTTTTCAAGATGGCTTATATTTTTCACTCTTTTTAAGACCCATGACAGCAAAGAGCATCTTGCTATGATGGAAAGAGTCCTGGGCCCCATCCCAGTAAACCTCCTGCAGAAAACCAAGTAAGTAGACCCAGCTACTGGGCAACATTTGTCATTGATTAACACTAATTGTAGAGTCACCTAAACATAAGCGACATTAGGAATTTGATTTGTTATAATTTTATGATCATTGTGGTGTTCAGGAAACAGCGGTATGTTCACCGATGCAAGCTTGACTGGGATGCGCACAGTTCTTCAGGGAGATATGTCCGAAAACACTGCAAACCTTTAAAGGTAAGGGCAATATTTCTGGAGATGTAAACATGCCACATGCAATAAGTGTTAGTGTTTCTGAAAATCCCCCTCTGTACATACTGTTCATTAAATTATGCTACTCAAGTTATGTAGAAACAAATGAAAATGCAGTGCTGTAGTAGACCAATAAGTGCATACTATAAAGATACTTATTTACAATTGTCTGTTTTATCCCCATCAGCATTACCTTTCATCGAAGGGTGAAGACCACCAGCAGCTGTTTGACCTGATAGAGAAGATGATGGCGTATGACCCAGCTAAGAGACTCAGTCTGGAACAGGCTCTACAGCATTCCTTCTTCTCAGTCTACAGCAGCAAGAGTAGAAGCAGCAGCAAGAGCAGCAGCAGTAACAGCAAAAAAGACTGAACTCATGAACATGTAAACCTCTGACCTGTAAACTCGGGTCAGGGCTCAGCTGTCACCATGATGTTTATCATGATGCTCAGTGCCAGCCTCTACTTGCTGACTCTCCAGGAGAGGTGAACTTTGACTGTATCAGTCCACTGCCCTGCTTTACTGTGTCTTGTTGTAAACTAGTGTGTTTTTCTTAGTGTAACTCATCAATAAGTTGTGTTTTCCTTTGGCATGTTTTGATGTAATGAATCCTCTGGTGATTTCTATTTATTCACTTCTGTAATTTAATTGGTTGCTCCTACGCAATTACTGGTGTATGTGTTTTAATTCAGGAACAGCCCAGTTTTGTCCATTTTCTCTATGCATTGTCAAAGGGCGAATGGGTAACGTAGCAGATTGGTAATTGCTTTACCTTGCATCAGTCCCACAAGTAATTTATGCAGCGTTTCAGATGCAAAAAAAAAAGCTTTCCAGGGCAGAAAATCCTTGTACATAAATTTTGTTCAGATGTGGTTTTTTTTCCACTTTCTGGTTATGTGACTTTTGCAGTATCATGTACACTTTTCAATAAACGTGAATAGACGATAATTCTGTTTTTGAGTCCATGCTGTTACTGTTTCACTGCAGTTGCTGTATCCGCAGTTATCCGCCAGATGGCAGTAAAAAGCCTCCACATTAGTTTAACTGAGATACCGAGGACCTGTCACTTCAGGCACAATAACTGACCGTAATTGACGGCTATCACAGTAGCCTTACATCAGTATCGTCAGTATAAAACCCCTTTTATATGGCTTTTATTTTGGCAAAACTGATAGGAAGATGAATCTTTTTTGAATTAATTAAATTAACTAATTTACAGTAATAATTTAAATACTGTGAGATGGAAGCTTTACAACCTGGATTTCGAGGTAACGGAATAGTGATCAGACTCGAGATGCTTGAATTACAGATTTCTATGATTCAAGGGGTTTAAGTTTTGAAATTGAGCATCATTATAGCCTACATGTTAGTTAGCGTTATTGTCTTCACTGTCATCTGACTGAACTTTCGTGATTAATCCCTCGTGGAGGTTCACTACTGTGAGCAAGATGCCACCTTAATGACTTGAACGGAGACATACAAAGTGAAGTGTAAATCAAGTTTAAAATATCTCTTTGTTCACGTTTAATTGTTTCGGTAAACCAGAATCAATACTGCCGGTTTCAACTCTGATAAACAGTTATTAAAAGAACCGTTTATTCTAATAGAAATAGCTCCTTTTATATAGCACATTTCATTACAGATAAGGACAATAACCCCATGTGCTTTACATCGAGGTTCAAAACAAAAATGAAAATAGCACACAAAAAGAAAGTGTGACACACTTTTTCTACACACACGCACACGCACGCATTGCCTACAAAAAGTAAGTATTCATGCTTTGGAGAACAGATTTTCAGGTTTTGAGATTTGCTTTAATAACAGCAAGAAACCTCATTCGACACTCGTTGTTACTTTAACACCTTAGAAACTTTGGGTTTGGAACAAAAACGACAGTGAAAACCCGCACAAACTACATCAGACTAAACGGAGGCTCGTCAGTGATCTAAAGTTGGCCAATCCTTTACTCCCTTACAGCTGTCAATCTGCAGCCTCCCACGTGGTCTGCAGGGCGGGCGCATCTCGACGGGTTCAACTTTTAACTTTTAGGGAGGCAAACAATTGGACTCATTGGTAGTTGCAGTTGCACATCCATGTAGGATACTCCCCAACAGGAAACAACGACCTGCACGTTAGTAGGCGCCGTTCTCTGGTTGTCATCCAGATCGCTCCCATCTGTGCGCACTGCTGCTGCCTCTTGTTCCAGGACTCATTAAAGACAGCGCTTTGAACTCCGAGCCCAGTGTGCAGGAGTTAGTTGTGAATGTAAAAGTTAGTCCACGGAGCCTGATAAGACCTTGGTTGCAAATTTAAGCAAAACAAAACAATATATTTTGTTTATTTTCTTAACATCAAAGGGACTTTTGGAGCAGGATTTCAGCATGGATACAGCCAGCGACTCTATCGGGGAAAGTAAGCCGGTGTGTCAGTGCGCGCCGAAGTCCGTGATCCAGCGGTGGCTTCCAGGATTTCATATCGCTCTGTGCCTGTTGATGTCAATGAGCTCCGTCGCCTTGTGTCTTTTCATGAGCTTCAGGACTTTCCAGCTGGAGAACCGTCTGCAGATGGAGATGGACAAAGCGTCCATCTTCCAGCCGAAGCACGCGGCTTTTCTAAACGAGGATGGGACCCTGATTCCAGAGCTGAGCACCTCCATAGGGAGGCTCGTGGAGGAGGTACTGTTGTGGATAAAAAAAAATAAAAGTGAAAGTTGCTCATAAGTAAAGATATACCACTGTCAGACTCATGGATAGCCTGTGCGTAAAGTGTGCGTAATAACAAGGAACATATTGAGATTTACACTCTAGGACTTGGCATTTTTGGCTAATGTACCCTAATTATTCCTACTAAAGTCGGTCTTGTTTAATGCATGACCTTAGGGATCAACCATGCATGCAGATGGCCAATTAGTTTGCAGTTACAGCTCTTTATAGGGTGACATAACCGCTGATAATAGACACCAACCTTTAATTTTATCACATGGAAAAAGTAATTGAGTGAACTCGTTTCATTTTAGAACTGAATTTAATAAGTGAAAGCTTATGATCTCATTATTGTAATTGGTGGTGGTTTGGATTTAAAAAAAATCTTTTTCCATTCTTTGATTTTCTGCTTAATGATTTCCTTCTATTCCCAAATGTTGAACTGCTTCCATTGCTTGAAGTGAAGAAAGCTTCTATGTTTAGGACCTGTTTTTTTTTTTAATCTGAACATTTGACTTTTATGTGTGTGCAGAAAATTGGAGAGATGAAACCAAAAATGCGGACAGCTAGGGATGTTGGTCAAGATTGCTCCTGTCCTCCAGGTATGCCTTCTTTTGTGGCCCTACTCACAAAAACACACACACACACAAAACACACCAAATCCCATCATACCAGGGGAAAGTTACAGTGCTGACATGACTGACTGTTTGTGAAACCTGATTTTCTGTCTGCCTGGGATGCTTTTGGCAGCTGAACTGTATGAGTGTGTGTTTATGTTTCCGTGTGGAGGATTAGGGCCCCTAAGCCTGTGTAGGGCCCTACTGTGACAGCAGGACTCAACACTGTGCAGATCAGTGGGGTATTGGGGTGTCCAGCCGGAGCCCTGATGCCTGGTGTCAGTGGGGGATGCTCGCTTTGATAGATGGAGAAGCTTTGTGCCAAGATTGGCCACGTTTGGCCTGTGGTGTTCATTACAGGGCTTGTGATCGTTCCATGGGTGGAGAACAGTGTGTGATCCACATCATGTTACATACAGTGTCCCCCTGTTATGCCTGTAACATCAGAGAAAGATGATTTTTTTGGAGGGGGAAGTTGCTGCTACATCTGATGTGCCGTGTCTGATGACCTGCTGTATGTTGAACGGTTTTACCTCACCTGTAGGGAGAAAAATTGTGCTCTGGTGCCTGAGAAAATCTCTGGCTTGCAGCAACAGGATGTTTGTGTTTTATTGAAGCTGGCATTCATGACATTCCAGATTTTATAAAATTGCAACTCAAGTGGAATCTTAGCATTGTTACACTAAAGAGAGAGTCTGCTTGCACACTGATTTTGGTGTATAGAATTTGAGTTTTTATTAGTTTTATGTGATTGTTCCCTCCCTGGCTCTCCATCCTTTCTTTCTTTCTTGTTGTCTTTGGGTGGGAATAGTCTCAAAAGGAAAATAAACAAACAGGTGAAAGCATTCACAAGTGGAATTTATGGCCCACTTTCAACAAATTCTGTTTTCCAGTCTGAAGTCTACCGTGCCAAGATGACTCGCCAGCTTTGGCTGGCAGGTCAGCGAAGTTGGCACGTGTATTTGTTGATTACATCGAGCCGCCACTGATACTGTTAATGCAATTTGTAGTTCTCTACTGTAGTTCTCCTTTGTAATTCAGTGCTTTTCTACATAGTAACTGTAGTCAGAGGTACCTTGTTATAATGTCAAACTTAGAGCAGCCTGCATTGCCCTCAGTGCGTATTTCTGTATTTTAACGTTATTATTTCGTTAGTTGGTATCATTGTATCAGATTTGCTTCCCATTTTCCTTTGGATTTGGTTGAATTACTGTGTAATCAAGTGGTTTTGGCTTTAAAATTTAATCTGTCCACAACTATTCATAAGTCTATTTAAAGTTCCCTCTCTCCAGTTTCTGATCTTTTAATGTGGTGTTTTGTTTTTGGTGAACAAAAGTCTGTTTGTTTATTGTGGCTTTGAGGTCCCAGAATGCCTGGACTTGTTCATGTGCCAACAATTATATTGCTCAACATTTTTCTATAAAATGTGTTAACATCTAAAGAGGGTTTCTCAGCTGATAACGTTGGGTTGGGGTTTAAGAAACATACTTGATATTGGTACTATACGGGATTTGGGGTTTTTGTGACATACTATCTTGTTCATTTATCTGTGCCATGTTGTGGCTACTTGTGTGCATCTCATCTGTGCCCCTGTGAGAGGTTGTACATGTCTCTATCATGGTCCCACAGTGCTGCATGTATGATGTCTGTCTGTGAGTCTGAGTTTCAGCCCCTGAGCCTTTGAGGGGCCGACAGAGGCACCTCTCTCTCTCAACACGACTCTGTAAGAAGAGACCCTCCTCTCTCTTTAGCACCAGCTCTTCCCACCTGAAACTTGAATCTCTCAGCACCAGGATCACAGGCCGAGGTATTTCTGCCTGGATGTGTGCGAGGAGATCACTACCACACAGCATGAGCAGCATTTCTGCCATTAAAGCTATTCCCTCCGCATCAGGGGGCTCGCCTTTCAGCATGCATGAAAACAGGGGCCCAAGAGGGGGCAGCATTTGTGCAGCAGCAGGGGAAATTATGATGTTGGGCTTTTCATTGACACTTCTGACTAAATGACTTCCCTTTGAGGAAAATTCAATTATCTTGAAGGGAAGCTCCTCTGGTGGAGCAGCAAAGAAATTGTCTAAGAATATCATTTTAATCTTGACTGACATTTATCTCTTGTTTCCTCTCAGCTGAAGCAGCTTTGTGACACTTTTATGCTCACAGATACAACCCGGCCAGCAGTCGTTAAGTGTTTGCAAACTATGTGACAAAGCCAGAACTCTGGGCTTACAAGCTTCAGGTGTTTGCTATTAACACCCGGCGGTTCTCTCAACACACACACGCAATGTATGCTCGCACTAAAACCTATGCACACATTCATTACGTACACATTAACACAACACCTTTGGACTTGGCTAATTAGAAGCATGTGATAGCTGTATGTGTCCTGTGTAGGGGGAGTGCATTGTCATCTCTGCAATTTGCATTTAAAGGCTGTTTTACTGGTCTGATCCATGCTAGGGGGCGTAGAGTCTGCCCACATTTCTTGGGCACAGGCCCAAAAATCTAATCAAGGGCAAAATCAGCCAATAATGTAGCTTAGGCACAAGTCACTGTGCAGTACAAGAAGGTGCTAAATATGCAGTCATAAAAGTACATTTTTATGTTTGCGAAAATTCAAGGCCCCTTTTCAATAAAAAAAGCCACATTTTCTGTGGTTTTAGTCGTTATGAAGATATGCTTCTCTTCGTTAACTGTTGTGATTGTAGACTTAATATACTTTGGATTGGATGGTTGGCTGTATGTCACTGTATGTCACTTACACTCAGGTAATTGTTATGGCCATTGGTGACTAAACTTGTGATATTTTATGAAGACCCTTATTTAGACCCTTCTTGAAGCATTGCCCTTTTGTTTATTTTATGTGTAAGCGAAGGATGGTCTCTATATTTTGGGCTTCTTTAAACTTTGTTCTCATCCTCTGGTTTCTACTTCTGTATGTTGCATCTTCTTTAAAAAGGAGCATCTTCTGTAAGTAAAGGGCATCCCAGTTTGGTGTTAGTGCATATGAGGGCAGGGGGTCAGACCTCTCCCTGTGTGTTTGGATCAGATAAGACCACAATGACACCTTGAATGGGAAAACAGACCCCCTGTAAATCTGCTTTTGTGTGTGTTTATGTAAAGGAGAGAGTATGCTTACTGTAAACATTCAAAGTATGAAAAAAAAAAAGGTTTGTGTATCGGTTCTGATCATAACTATTGATTGTGTCTCAAATTCCGACATACAGTAGAAGCAGAATAAAGTAGTAAGCTGAAAAAGATAGTATGAAGTCTGATGTTAAACCAATCAGCTGTTTGTCGGTCTGTGGATCAACATGTCACCTAGGAGGCAGCCTCCCCCGACCCTCCAGCTTCCTGCTCCCCTGCCTGGAGGGGGGAGACAAGGAAAGCCTGGCTTTGAGCAAAAGACCCACAATGGGGCCAAATACCCCCCCCCCCCCGGGCTGGGATTTTGTGTTTAGAGCCATAATAAATCAGACAGGAAGCTCGCGGCTACCTACACAACACATCACTATAGTAAGACTACTTCAGCTATAAGATCCATTAATGAGCCATTAAAAATAGTAAACGCAGGAAATTTGTTTTCTTGAGTGCTCTTGTTTTGGATTTGTTCCGCTCTAGCTGTAGGCGGTTTCCTGAAGTATTAATATGCAGGAGGGCAGCACACAACTACCTCTGTGTGTGTGTTTGTGTGTGTGAAAGTGAGGGAGAGAGTTTCTGTTTCTTTATACTCGGGGGGCGTGTGTGTGTGCTTCCAGCGGTATATGTTATGCATGTGTGTTTGTTTTGATGTCTGCAGACATATGTTTTAGTGTGAAGCTCCCGGTGACTGACTGCTTTGCTTTAAATGCACTGTGCATGAAGTCAGTTATGAACGAAGTCTCTGGTAGAAAATCCAGGTGGCTTTTTACATCATCCCTCAGGGAAGAGTTTGTGCAGTGTAGATCATTTTCTGCTCCTGATAAAAAATGTAGTCAAATAATATTCTCTTACACTCCCTGTATATTGAGCAAATAAATGTGTTCAATGAATAACTGTAGCCGTGATTTATGCTTTAGAGGACAAAATGTTGCACAGGAAATGATAGTAATCGATGAAAGTGGACAGCTGAACACAGCGGCAATGCAAAAGCTACGTTTGCATCAATCAAAAATGACACAGACCCATGAAAGCTATTCCGCAAAAGCTCTGTGATGATCCCTCTCTGCCTGCCAAAGGATACAAAAATATTTTAAAATTCACTAACTTTTGAAGCATGGAAGTATTTTCCTCTGCTTTTCCTTTTCGTTTACAGTTTATCTCTCACACTTAAACTTTAATCTTAACTGCATTGTTCGGTGGAATGTTTTGTTGTCTATCAAATGCTAGCTGTGCTGTGTGTTGCTCGCAGGTTACCTGCTATTATGGGTGGTCATTTTAGAGGCAATTTTTCATTGTGCACACAAGTAGACGCTTCAAGTAAATCCTCAGAATAGATCATTAGTGTTTCAGTAATAATAAGATTCAGGTCACATGTTATAGTTGTTTTTACCTTCACCAAACAACTTTTCAACTCTGATTCTTTCACAGACAATATTCAAACGTAGGAATAAAGCCATGAGGTTTTTGATGGAGTTGAGGTGCTCCTCTTATCTTCACTGTTAGTCTGAGATGTTCTCTAACCTCGATCAAGCTGTTTCAAATCAATCTATTTCTTGTCTTGACAGTCTGATTAAAGTGAAACTGTTTGATATTAGAGAAGTTGTGGTGTGGTGATTTGAACATTGTCATGCTTCAGAAAGAAACTTTAGGCTTCTTTTTTTACACCAACATTACTTCTCTAACATTGCTCGTATAAACATTTAATGATGAGTAGAACACAGATGCAAGAGTTTGATCCAGACAGCCCTAGAGGATTCGGGTATGTGCTTAAAAACCAAAAGTTGTTACAACTACCCCGAGTCTCCCCTATACTATCACTTTATGATGGAGATTGTTTGGGATGAGAA